AAGAGGAGGACAAGACAGAGACCAAGACAGCAGTCGAGAAGGGAATCATGGCGTGGAAGAGAGCAAGAGCTTCGAGCCAGAGGATCTCCCGCACAACAAAAGACGGAGAGACAGACAAGAAGAAGAGCTGCCAAAAAGTTGCTGCCAAAATGACGATGAGAATAGTGATGGTGGTAGTGGTGAAAGCAAGAAGAATGATAGAGAGAGCACTCCTAAACGAAGTCGAGTGCAGGGTGACAGTCTTAGTAGACACGTGCAGTTTTCTTCTGTTATTACTACGGTATCTGTCTTTAATCCTGAGAATAGCGTAGCTCCCCCTACGACGCTCGGTGCCGGGGTCCCAGATAGTGGACTATAGAAACATTTTGTGTTTCCCGCCGCACCGTCTTTTCATTGGTCAGCCGGTTAGCGCGGTCGATGCTGATAATAAAAGCACACACACATACACCACCATTTGATTCTATAGTACCGTATGGACTTCAGATGCTTGCTTTGTACGTGTTCATCAAAGCGATAGGAGGTCGTAATATCCACTCCCTTGGTTGTGGTGGTGTACGTTTGTCACCGCCGAATTGGGGCATGGCACAACAACGGCAGGTGACGAACAAAACTAGAATACATGTATCGCATACATCTTTGCACACCACACACACGCACCTGTCGCGCCCAGCTTGATTCCAATGGGCTCTAGACGTATCACTCCCAAGCCCCCGGCTTCGTGTTCCTGAATGGCGGCCATTGCCCCTCCTCCCTGCTCTGCTGCGCGATACTGCTGTTTGCTGTGTGCAAGTTTCGTGTGGCAAGTTTGTGGGGGCAAGGGGCGCTCCGGCTGGGATTCCAAGATCTCAGCATGGGTATGCATCGATCGCACAGAGTGCAATGTGCAACAGGCAATGATTGAACTCGCTGCACACCGCACACTCACGCACCGTTGCACCGGTCGCCATTCCGGCATACATATCCTCGCACCGCGAGAAAGATGTTTGGGACCGCGAGGAGACGCCGAGAGAAGGAAGGGGTAAGTCGCAGTAGCGTTCAAGCTTCACTCCATATATGATGGTCACAGGGTTGCATACAAGGATGAAGACCGACGATGAATGCGCTGGCTGGCTGGCTGCGTTCCACCTTTTTTGGAGAGCGCTGATGAACTGAGTGGAGACTAGCAGATAAGAGAGCAGAGCATAAACGGCACGTTCTCGCCCTTTCCACACGCACGGCCTCCGTGTCCTCCAAGCAATTGCTGCGCAAGAATTTTTTTTGCGGAATTGTGCCGCAACCCCCGACGGTTCGCGATAGATACTGCTGTACACGCGCGATCTTTGCAACATTTCCTCACTGACTGGCAGTTTACATCAGGGATGCGGGTTACGGCGGTACCCGTAATTACCCGTAACACCTTCCAGACGTTCGTGACTAGTTCCATCCTACGTAGCTTTTGCGGTAACTTGGGGGTTTGGGATTCATTTGGGGCAATGGGGCGACCCCCGACAGACATAATACACTTAAGTAGTATCCAGAACATCATTTACCGCTGCTGCAGGTGGTAGCAGTTTGAAACTTGAAGAACACAAGCATGCCTACCGCACGCATTATTCACGTATACACGTGTACGCGTGTACACAAGAAGAGCTGATGTCAACACCTGAATCCCTTATCTCGACCTGCTGTAATCGCCTTTGTGTCCTACTTCTACGGTGTTTAACACCCCATACGGTGTTCCAACACCCCGGGCAAGACGACATTTCGTCCCCGGTATGCTGCCGTAATTACGCGTGCGTAACACAATTTGTTGATTTCCCGTAATTACGCCCCACGACCTTAATCTAGATGAACATTGCATTCCGTAATTACGGGTACGCACCGGCCGGGGAACGCCGTAACCCGCATCCCTGGTTTACATGGTATTGAGATCCGCTTGTGGTGAAGTTTACTGCACTGCCTCTTTCCCATGTTGGCGGTGTGTTCACCATGAGGAGAACAAATCGTGTTGTAGACTCATATCGACTTTTCCAGAAATAGCCTGAACAGCAGTACAGCATGCCCTTGGGCTGGCTGGTGCATGCATGTATGCGTGCATTTGGTTTTCTTGCAGACGTACGTGCATTCGTAGGTGACATAAGATAGCACACCCCCTGTATCGATTTCGATTACTCTACACGACAGAAGAGGATGTATAATTCCACCAATTGTGGAAAGCTCTCGACGAGACAGCGGGAAACAACGCCGCACCGCCGCTTTCTCTGCCGTGATGGAGTAATCGAGCTTTAACAAAAGAGCCAGGGGGTGTGATATCTTCTGTCATGTCACCTACGGTATTCCTTCGCGGGACGTGGGTGACAACAAAGCCAAGCCTCCCGAGGGTGACACAAGATTCGACATACATACCGAGGCTTTGCCATGCGTTGATTTATCTTGACGATTGGTCGCCTAGCTTTTTGTGGTGGTTCTCCGTACAAAACATCAATTATGTTATTTGTAGAAGAGCCAGCTCGGGCGCAACAATAGCTTGCTGGCATATATATCCCTAGTAGTCGAAAAAATCCATCTACATGTAGTACTGATTGCTCGGTCATTTGTCTAAAACGTCCCCTCTGAATAGAATTTTAATCCGAAGTAGCACCACTAGCAGAGGCAAGAGCGCACACTCCAACGACGCAACATGCGGGTGCATACGACCAGACTTGGCTTACAGCAAAAGTGTGTTGCTACTGTGCCCGGTGCGAACTGTAGACGAGAAATGGTTGAGGCCGGGCGTTCGACAATAGACAGCGATTCATGTTGAATTATAGTCAGTGGTGGAAGCAGCGATGCGTGGATATTTTAACACCTCAAGAGACATCTTCATATTCGGTAGGCTACGAACGGTAACCACCTGCGCAATGATGTTGAACCCGATGTGCCATTATAGTCGGTAGGCAGGGCATCGCCGCAAGCTCCGAAGGAGCCAGATGATTGCGGGAGGAGTTTTTGCCATGTGATCAGCTTCAACTGCAGCTGGTTGTCGTTGGTAGCGTTAGCACCGTCTATGTATGTAGACGCGCCGTGCAAGGCGTACGCGATAGCGCGCGTGTATTGCCGTGGAATCGAGGGCCCCATCCTCCCTCCGTCCCTTGCCCAAATACTTCATGTTCATCAGATTTATCGCAAGTCGTCCGCCTAACACGTGGACTCAAACCACCTCCCCCGTGTAACCGTACGGCAGGAAACGGTGCCCATTCTGCGTGAAAAAGCAACGGCGACCGCAGGGCAAACCACCACGTCGCCTCTGCGATTGGATGGCCGCATCGATCCCGGAAGCGGAACGGCATCTGGGGTGGCGGGTTTCGACGATGGCGAGGGCGGGAGGATGCCGGGGACGGCCGGCACGACCGCGGCGGTGCCAGCAGCGGACAAGAAGAGGCCGCCGCTTCTTCCGGAGTCCGTTGTCCGAGGCTTAGCGTATGGCATGGTGAACGGCATCCTCTTGCCGCCCGTGATGGTGAGGGGGTTTGGGGGCGGGGGAGGCGAGAGATAGTCCACCGGCGAAAGAAACGTTAGACGTGCACGCAACCCGCTCCTTGAGGGAGGGGAGGGAGGGATGCTTAAGCGATTGGCGTATATCTCCATAGTCAGTGTTTTTGTGGCATCTTCTTTTTAGGTGTTCCCGCATGCGTCGGCTCGAGGGCAAGTCGGTTGAACCTCCAAGTAGAGGTTCTCCGTAGATGGAGTCGTCGTCTTTTTGCCGAAAGATGCACACAGGGGTAGACGAACTTGGCTCGCCATGGGGGAATTCCGGAGTAGGAGCGGAGGAGTCCGGCGGGATGATTCGTACACACTTGGTCCGCACCTGGCCCCTCCTTCACACATCACCAATTGGTGATATGCTGCCGTGTACTAGAAAGAATGACACAACGGCTTTCTCCCGCTCACAGATCTCAACACACCCCTTCGACTACTGTATGTGCACCATCTAAGAATTACAGCGACCAGTTAGCACACCCCACCAAAGGCAATTGGTAGCCAAATGAGTACGAGAGGAGCTTCCAAGGCCACCAAGTGTGTCGTCTTGAACCACCTGCGTCTAGCTCCCAGCTTGAGACTAACCTGCCGCCGCCGGCTTTGGTCCGTTGCCCTGAACCTGTTACCCCCCCCCCCCTTCGCTTGCCCTTGACCACTTCCAAGGTGAGCTTTGCCGCGATGATTTTTAGGGATCCGGCGTTCACGCCCCATCTTCCCAGGTAAGCATTCGCATTCGTGGTGCATGTATGTAGCTTGCGCCGCGCTTACCATGCGTTCAGTTCAGATCAGCGCTACGCCCATAGAGGGGGGCGATAGCGTTCCCCGCATCCGCGCTTTTTCCCGCTCGCGACGCACTACGTGCGATTCCGAGCGCACGCTATGGCAGCCCGCCAGCCAGCCCTCCTAGCGAGTCTCGCGAAGGATATGGCTTGGATGCCGCAGTATCAACTTGCATTTCCCCCGTCGCCCTCACCACCGGGAGGGTATTCACTTCACGCCGAAAATAGTGCAGCAAGGCTTAGTCAGGCGCCTATCGAAGAGCTCCCCCCACCACCCTCGCGCATCTGGAGGGTTGAGGCGGCCACTGCCCTCGTCGCGGACCTCCCGCCTCCTTCACCCTTGGCATGTGAATTGCATGTTGACGGTTGACTCGGGCCAGACGTAAGTTGTACCGCCCGCAGCCCCCCCCCCCCCCCCCCCCCCCCCCCCCCCCCNCCCCCCCCCCCCCCCCCAATTATAAACCATGTTGTTGCGCGTCCTTGCCTGCGCCAGGCTCGTGAAATTGGTCATGTTTAGCGGCGCCGTTCACATGGCCTGCTTCGGGACCCTGTCCAGCCTCAAGTTCGCCGTCGGGTCGGTCCAGGTGAAACACGTGGCGGAGGGTTGGAGTCCGAAGACAGCAGCAGTCGGTGTTTGGCATTATAGGTGCATGTTTGTTCTGCGATATTTTTTCCAAGCTCGTTCCCTTCCCCCGGGTCCTGCTTGTGTGTCATGTCCCTGAGTCGATGGGTTGTTCACAACGGCACCATCAGCATCGTCTCAATATAAAGCTCGTGCAATATACTCCGCAGTAGATACGCCGCCTCGTTCATGCCGCGCATACCGTATATGACACAAGACAACACACCCCCTCAACCAATTTTCAAAGCTCGATTACGCCACGACGAAGAGGATGCATAAACGAAACAACACGCTTTCGGAAAGCTCTCGACGAGACAGCTTCAACGCCACCGTTTTCGGTGCTGTGGCTCTATCTGCTGTTGAGAAATCGGGATTAGAAAATCGGTTCAGGGGGTGTGCTATCTTGTGTCATTTACGGTACCCAATCCATGGCGGATGTGGTTTGGGACAGCAAGCGCAAGGATGATGGCCAGCTTCTGGTGCATCATTGGGAAATGTAGCCTGGGCCGGCGAAAACCCGACACATCGCTCCGTCCCGGCGTTCGAGATACTCGAGGTCTATGGCTACCGACCACGGCATCCGTTTACATGAGTATAACCTTGTCCTGCTGGTGTGTTATCTTCCAGAGTCGATGGGCGTTGACGACGGCAACCTTCATGTCAAGCCTGTAAAACGCGAGTAGAAACGCCGCCTCGCTCATGCCGCGCATACCCCCCCGCCCCCCCAATGTTGATCTGATCTCCGCTTGCGGTCCCCCCCGACGACGTTGCCGTTCCTCCTCTTTTGCCACTTGTTTGCTCGTGCTTTCAGGACGCCGGTCTGATATTCCTGTCTGCAATCTCCTCGGCGGTGGTAGCCTTTTCCAGAGAGCAAGGAGTGGATGAGGCTGGTATGCTCAGCACCTGTGAGTCTCTTGCTAATGTTGTGTCTAGCTGTTTTTGTAAGGAGCCCCCCCCCCC